TTGGCAGTAGGTGTCAATAAATGTTGGCCTGCTGTGTCAATAATCTAAGAGAGTGTTTTGGAGAGAACAAAACCATAACAAACCAAAGAAAGAAAAAAGTGTAACTTGTCAAACCTTTATAAAGAGGAATCTGATAATACATATCAAAATATAAAATGTGGGGCTGGCCCGGTGGCGTAGCAGTTAAGTGCATGTGCTCCACTTTGGCGGCCTGGGGTTCGCAGGGTCGGATCCCGGGCGCACACCGATGCACCACTTGTCAAGCCTTGCTGTGGCGGTGTCCCATATAAAGTGGAGGAAGATGGGCACAGATGTTATCCCAGGGCCAATCTTCCTCAGCAAAAAGAGGAGGATTGGCAACAGATGCTAGCTCAGGGCTAATCTTGCTCACAAAAAAAAAAAAAAAAGAGGGGAGAGAAAAAAAAAAAAAATATATATATATATATAAAATGCACATAACCTTTGACTCAGAAATCCCATTTTGCTCCATCTACCTTAAAAGGTCATTGACTGAATGGGGAAATATGTAATCATAGGTATTTCATCACAACATTGTTCGTAATAGCAAAAAATTCAGAAACAATCTAAATGCCAATTAGGAATGAACTTAAGAAAATTATGTAAACAAATGCTATTGCTAGGTGATAAAAATGGTTTCCTCTTTTTTTCCAGAACTGTTTAATATTTTTTACAAGACTCATGTATCCTTTTTTCCAGAATCAGAATGACTATTTAAAAAATAATTTTTAAAAGACGAAGTCTTGCCATTTGTAACAACATGGATGGACCTTGAGGGTATTAAGCTAAGCAAAATAAGATGGAGAAAGACAAATATCATATGATTTCACCCATATGTGGAAGATAAACAAACACATAGATACAGAGAACAGATTGGTGGTTACCAGAGGGAAAGGCAGGTGAGGGGAGGGCAAAAGAGGTAAAGGGACACATTTGTACAGTGACAGATGGAAACTAGACTTTTGGTAGTGAACACAATGCAGTCTTCAGAAGTTGAAATATAATGATGTACATCTGGAATTTACATAATGTTATAAACCAATGTAACTTCAATAAAAAAACAAAATAAAAAAAATAATTTTTTTAAAAACACACAAAAGAGAAAGGTCCTAAGGGAGGTTTCTTTCTCCTGGATTCTCAAGGCCAATTATCATTTTATGTCACTGATAAAGGTTCAGTTCAGCTTTTCAGACCAGCCAATAGCCCAGATATATGAGAAAATTGAAGCTGAAACGAGGTAGATGAAATGAAAGACTTTTGTGTTTTTTGCATAAAATCATACAATTCCATCCTGTTACTACTTCTATGTACAAAAACAAACAAACAAACAAACCTCTATTCTCTGGCCACAACTTTTATAATTAATCCCAAACATCTATATTCTACATATATTCGTCAGCTGATGGACACTTGGTTTGTTTCCATATTCTACCTATTATGAATAATGGTGCTATGAACATTCCTGTACAAGTTTTTGTGTGGACATGTGTTTTCAATACAGTGTAGAATTGCTGGGTCAAGTGTTAACTCTAAGTTTTACTTTTTGAGATACTGAAAAACTGTTTTCCACAGCAGCTGCACTATTTACATTTCCACCAGCAGTGTGTGAAGGCTCTAATTTCTCCACATCCTCTCCAACATTTGATAATGTGTGTCTTTTTTATTATAGCCATCCTAGCAAGTTTAAAGTGGTATCTCATTGTGGTTTTGATTTGCATTTCCCTAATGACTAATGATGTTGAGCATCTCTTTATGCACTTATTGGCCATCTGTATAAGGGCATACCTCGGAGATATTGCAGGTTTGGTTCTAGACCACCACAATAAACCCAATATCACAATAAAGCGAGTAACATGAATTTTTTGGTTTCCCAGTGCATATAAAAGTTATATTTACACTGTCCTGTAGTCTATTAAGTGTGCAATAGCATTATGTCTTAAAAAAATAATGTACATAATTTAATTTAAAAATATTTTATTGCTAAAAAATGCTAACCATCATCTGAGCCTTCAGTGAGACATAATCCTGTTGCTTGAGGAAGGTCTTATAAAAAACGCAGTATCTGCAAAGCGCAATAAAGCAAGGTGCAATAAAACGAGGTACGCCTGTATCTTTTTGGAGAAATATCTATTCAAATTTTTTGCCTATGTTTAATTGGGTTATCTTTTTATTACTGAGTTGTAATAGTCCTTTATATATACTGGGTGCTTCATCAGATATATGGTTTGTAAATATTTTCTCCTATTCTCTGGATTGTCTTTTCACCTCCTTGACAGTATCGTTTGAAGCACAAAAGGTTTTAATTTCGATGAAGTCGATTTTGCATATTTTTTCTTTTGTTGCTTGGGCTTTTGGTGTCATATCTAAGAAACTGCCACCTAATCCAAATCTCAAAGATTTACACTTATGTTGTCTCCTAAGAGTTTTACAGTCTTAACTCTTTCATTTAGGTCTTTGATCCATTTTGAGTTAATTCTATATTTGGTGTGAGGTAGAGGTCCAACTTCATTCTTTTGTATTTAGATATCCAGTTGTGCCAGCACCATTTGTTGAAAAGAATATTCTTTCTCCATTTAACTGTCTTGGCATGTAGCTTTTTAAAATCTACCTTAAATGTTCTATAGCTTGATCGTGACAGTGCTTACACAACTGTATATGTGTTTGTCAAAATTTATAGACCTATACACTAAGAAGAAAAAATTTTATTGTATGTAAATATCTCAATAAACCTGACAATTAAAATTTCTCCTTTAGAGAAACATTCACATATAGCATATATAAGGATCATATGCTTCACAAATATTGCAGTACTGTTTGTAATAAAGAGAAACTAGAAACCATCTGCATGTCTCTCAAAAAGAAAAAAGCTAAATAGAAGGTAGTATAATCATAGGATTGAATACTATGCAACAGTTGAAAAGAATAAGTTAGATTTTACATATATCAAATTGATAAAGTTTAGAAACATTCTATTAAGCAAAAAAATAAGTGCACAATGATGTACACAGAATGAAAGCAAGCATGTAAAAAAGATATACAAAATCATACTATACAGTCTCTGTGAGTACACACATAAATACCTAAAGGTATCTCTTAAAGATCTTGAAGAATACTTAGCACACTGCTAACACTCATTGCCTCTGGAGAGGGCAAAAATGAACTCGGATGGATAGGAAGATCAGAAAGGAGTTGAGCTCTGTCATTTTTCCCCCAAAGGGAAATCTATTCATTAATTAGTTGTGATTAAAAATTAATAATTGGTAATTTATTTGAGCTGTAAACAGAGATTATAAGTATGGAATCATAGATTTTTAATATATGTGCTCATTTATGCATCCCTGCACCCAACCTACACACACACACACACACACACACACTCAGAGGTGATCTTACCAATTTGGATTTTCCGTACTTTCCCGGAAGACAGACTCCTCCTTCATAGATGCATACTGTGTCCACGTAAGGCAGTGACTCCGCATAGCCATGTTTCTTTCCTGAGGATTGAGCCACGATTCCTCTTCTAACTGGATACTAGGTACCTTTAAAATGCTCACCTGTCCAACAGAGGGAAGATGACTTTCTCAATTTAGGAAGAGCAGGCTATGTAAGGACTCTGTGCAGAGTTGCTTTTAGTCTTGGATAATTAAGAGGACAAGTGATCCTCATATACAGATGATGGCTTACCAAGGCTGTAAGTCCTTGAGACTCAAACATACTATGACCTTACTAAATGCTGGTGAGGACATGCAAATGGCCCAGGATTTATGCAGGCTGTACAGTCCCTGGCCTGATTTCCCTAACTGCTAAACACTAAGCAAATTATCAGCCTCCTTCGTGTCTCCTCTAGGGCTGGTTACGGCCTTCTTAAATTGATGGATTCTAATTGGGCCCACTTACGGGCTCACATGCAACACAATATCAGATAAAACAGTTTCTTCATTTTAAACTCTTTCAATATCTAGAAATGTATGCTTTCCTAGGTAGAGGAGACACGGAAAACTACAAAGGCAGAATTGTACAAGTCAGAGGTGTCCTTAAATTATTTAAGAATTGAGATACAAGACAAAGTTGAATGCCTTTTTAAATAATAGATTCAAAGCGTGTATATAGGGCAAAGGCAGGGTACACACTCTGTGGAAAAAGCCAGTAATAATTTGCTGCATACACTGCAACATATTTTACCATCTGGAAAATAAAAGAAAGTTCATTTTCATTGTCATATCAGCTTTCTTTCCACTAAAGAATGTGACAGAGTCTTAATCCATGATAAGGAAGTAATAGAAGCCGCCATTTTTTTTTAACATACAGCATAGTAATATAATTTGCAAGCAATCAGCAGGAGCCCAGCTGGGTTCTACATCACACACAGAATCACTTCCGGGTTGAAACAACCATCTGAGACATTTTAAAAAGTGCGTATCAAGTTGCTCTCTCATTTCCTAACAATTCTAAAAGGACTCTTATCAATAACCCCTCTATGGTTCAAGCAATGTGATTAAAAATTTCCACTTACCTTTTCCAACAATCACCAGAGTGCTTAAGGATTTCAAAGAGAGAAAAAAATTTGCTATCATGAAGATTTCATCATCAATGCCATTACTTTATAGAAACATACACAAAAAGACTTATAGAGAACACTGAGCACATTATACTCCCTGAAATAACTGTTCTCTCTGACAGTGAAATAGAAACTGAATCTTTTGTCTTCCTTACTAAAGATTGGACTAGATATTTACCATCTGCCCACTTCTGATCATTCTTATCTAAGAGTCATATCTAACCATGGACAGATTATAAAAGATGGTCACTTCACACAAAATGTCCAGGTATCTTTAAAATAATTGTAAACCATCTCTATGTCCACTAAGAGCCCTCCACAAAAGAGAGAGAGACAGAAACAGACAGAAAAAAACTATCTCTGGTTGCACTGCCAAAACTGAGGTTGGATATGAGAGGGCTTTCTTGTGAGGGGCTATGAGGTAGAAGAACTGGGAAAGTTCTATCACTCCTTTATATCAGAAAATGCTCTTCCCGTGACTATTTGAAAATTACCCAATGTTACACCAAATCTGATTAAATTTTGAAATGAATTTACCTTCCTTAAAATTTCTGGAATCACATTCTGACAGATTGCAATCCTCTTTCTATAGATGATCCCTGTTGACACATCTAGAAACAGAAAATTTTTAGACTCAAAAAAAAATTTAAGGAAATGTATTCTTGTCTTAATGTCAATAAAACTTTTAATGTCAATCTCAATTTTCTATTGGTAGAATTCCTAGAGAAAATGTTTAACTCAAAACTCAGTGTCCTGGACCATTTTTCTGGGCCAAATCACTCCAAATAAATTTATCTGTGATCAAAGAATAAGGGTAAAACAGCTACTCACACTGCACTTTTCTAAAGTCAAGGGTAAAAGAATCACAAATTGTTCACCGCTCTGGACCATCAATGTCAACACTCCAATGACAACGGCCAATGAGCCTCCTGCTCAACTCCAACAGAGAAAGTTTTAACAAAAAGATGGAGAATCTGATTCTGCCACCTTCTGCACCAAACACGTTTTCAAGCACAGATTTCAAGCTACAAAATTTAAACCTATAATTAATTATATTAGGCATACTCTTCTCTCATTGGGGAACAGACTCCCTGTGACTGGAACTATTCTGTTTTGGAACGAAGTTTCCAGAATAGCACCAGGGATGTAAAAAACACACGACAAACATGAATTAAGAAAAAGGGAGACCGAGTCAGAGAAAAAGATAAACTTTGAAGCATTGTCTTTTGCTCTGTGAATTACTGTGACTCAGTTACGCTCCTACAGGGTTTCTCAAAGCTCTGGCTATGGTAGCCCTGAACCTGGGTGCAAACACCCTGGCTGCCCAGAAGCTGCTGACAGGGTGAGCAACTGGTTCACCTCCTCTGCCCATTGGCATCCTTTGGTCATCTCATCCAATGTTTGCAGCATAGAGACAATGAACGAGCACTCCTGGAGGCAAAGGTGCCCCTGTCAATGGTAGAAATTGTAATCAGCATTCCTATACCACTTTAGAATATGTACATTGTTCTCTCATTTGATCTTCACAACAACCTAAAAAGAGGATTGTTATTATTTTCTCATTTACAGATTAAGGAACTGAGCCTCCAAGAAGTTAGGTCATGCAGGTAGTAACGAAATCAGGACTTGAAATCAGATTTCTCTGATGCCAAATAACAAGTTTCTCCCATCCTGAGTGCAGGTACACGCAAAAATGTTTTTTAAAATATAGAGTTATGGAAGTGCAGAAAATACTCTCACAAGCAAAAGACAGTTTTGTGTTCGCTAAGCACAGAGAAGGCCTCAGAGTCACATAAAGAACAGTAGTATCTCATAAGTTCTCTCAGAAGGCTCAAGAGCATGTTAGACCTGGGCCTGGGTGTCCCCAAAGGTTTATACATTGATTATGTGCACCATTATAGCTTCCTGCCTTGCCCAGTTCTCGAGTTCAAACACTGATAGTGAAAATGCTCCCGCTGGAGATGTGAATGACAGAGAACAGTGAAGACTCCTGCACTCTAGTCCAGGGGTTGGTAAACATTTTCTGTAAAGGGCCAGATGGTAAATATTTTAGGTTTTGTGGGCTGTACAGTGTCTGTCGCAACAACTCAACACTACTGTTGTTACAAGGAAGCAGCCACAGATAATATGTAAACAAATGGGCATGGCTATGTGCTAATAAAACTTTACTTACAACAACGGGCAGCACAAGTATAGTTTGTCAACCCCTGCTCTAGTCAATGCTGAACCACACTGCCAAGTAACAGTTATGATTCCATAACCTAATCACTTTATGGTCAACATCTCATATACATGCTATTCATCACATCTATTTTGCCATCTATAAAATGATATAGGGATATAGCCATGTGACCTTGGGCAAGTTATTTAACTTCTCTGTACCTTGGTCTCTTCATTCATTAGATAAGAGTAATAATAATACCTACCTATACATTGTTCTGAAGATTAAATGAGAGTTAGTAAGAGTAAGAGTGCCCGGCACATATTAAGTGCTCAAAAATGTTAGCTGTTACAATTGTCATCAATTATTAACTGGGAAAGTAACAAGAGCATATTAGGCAAGACTTCTGCTGTAAATGCTGGGTGTCCTTTTCCATCAGTCACCTCAAATACAGAAATATAATATAGCTGTTTAAAACATAACAGGCCACACACACAAAACACACATATCTTTACAAAAATCAGTATTACTTGAGGCCAGCCTGGTGGCGTAGCAGTTAAGTTCCCACATTCTGCTTCAGTGGCCTGGGGTTTGCCAGTTCGGATCCTGGGCACGGACCTACTCACCACTCATCGAGCCATGCTGAGGCAGCGTCCCATACAGAAGAGCTACAACTCTACAACTACGATATACATATGTACTGGGGCTTTGGGGAGGAAAAAAAGAAAAAAGAGGAAGATTGGCAACAGATGTTAGTGCAGCGCCAATCTTCCTCAAAAAAAAGACAAGTCAGTATCACTTAATGATCATTACTAACTTGAGGTATATTCAGAAAACTTACCTCTTGTTTCCTCCACAATTTTTACAGAGATGACATTTTTATCCATGGGGTGGGGATACTAAATGAAAACACATAAAGAAGAATTACCATTCATCCTTGACCAAAGTGAATTATTTCATAGTAACCACAGTTATTTGCAGGAATAGTAAAATACTTTCCAAGTAACCTCTAAGGCCAGTTTTCAATCAAGGGTCTTAATTTTACCGCTTTGGCCTAGATAAGTGAGATGCTATCAACAGCTGGATCTGTATGAAATCTAGGGGAAGCCTTCTGTAGATTCAACCTAGCTCTAGATGGAGAGGGGGATGTCAAGTGAAGCTAACAGATAAATAATACTATTAATACTGAACCAGCCTCACATAAATCACAGTGTTCTTTGTGCAGGCACCCTGCTAACTGGTTTACTTGCAAGATCTTGTTTAAATCTCCCAACAGCCTCTCTGTTGTGACTGGGTCATGTGGTATCATTATCCCATCTTTCAGAAATGGAAACTGAATGAAGATGCAAGAGCTTAGGGTCACCCAGCTAGTTAGTGGTAGGGCCAGGAAGTTAAACCAGGCCTAATACAGAGTGAATTCCTTCACTACTGTCCTGTACCATGCCTGGTGGCTGGGTTAGCATCACAGTAGAACCATAGACATAGTCTATGCCAGGTGCTCAAGAAATAGTTTATTTATTGATTAAATTCCCTTGAAAGACAATTTGGATGGAACACAGCTGATAACAGCCACCATTTTTGTCCTAGGCAGTTTACATACGTTATTTCAGTTTAATTCTCAAAACTATTCCATGAGGTATATGCTGTTTTTTCCCTTTTATGTGTGAGAAATAAGGCTCAGACAAACTAAGTAATTTGCTCAAAATCACCCAGCTAACGAGCATCGGTACTGTAATTTACCCACAGGTACTTTCTGTTGCCTTCAAAGCATGCCCACTAACCTACCCTCGAATCACCTCTGAGTTACTCAAACCCAACCCTTTCCATTGCTCAGTTGCAAAAAGGGAGACTTAGGGAGGGGAAGTGACCTCCTCAAAGCCATAGGACAGGTGGCTGCTGACACGGGCCTGCTAAGCACCCCTGGGGCTCTTTTCCCAGAGGTTTACTGCTTCCTCATGTGATCAAATCTGAAAAGAAAACTATAGGGAAGTCTTATCCGAGACATCATAAGGCACTGAGGGGGAGGCGAGAACAGGCTGAGGGGCAAGAGAAGAGGCGGACCCTCCACTTGGCAAACTTGAGCTTTAGGTCTTCTGAACCCCAGGAAATGGTATACAAAACTCAGTGAGTATGGGTCTCCTCAACCCTGCAGCATGTTACATGCATGCCTGTACGCATGCGTGTGTATAAGAGGATGACTGACTGACTGATTGATTTTCAAGGAAAAGGACCCATCACTTTCACACATTCTTAAAGATATCTGTGGCCCAAAAAACACTGGATCAGAACATAGGCTCTATGAGAGCAGGAATACCGTCTATTTCAGTCACTCCTGTATCTCCACCACCTAGCACAGTGTCTGGCACACAGTAGGCACTCAATAAATATTTGCTTGAATGAATGAACGATTTGGAAGATAAACTTCACTGACCTCAGGGATCATTTGGAAAATAAACCTTACTTCATTTGGGGACCAATCTGTGAAGTGAGCAAGGGGCTCTGTCCTCAGCAGCCTCAACAGCTCATCACGCCCCACGCTGTCAACTTTCATTCACACTTCCACCCTGGCAACTGCAATCTGGAGAACTAATCAAAAACACGGCTTTTTAAATATTCTTTCATTCATTCATTCTTGCTCCCGAAAGAAATGCTCAAAATTAGTGACTGCTTTCTTGTTTTAGCCCTCGGTATTTCTTAAAGATAATGTCCATTACAGAGGGTCAGGTTTAGCTCTTCTGTTCCTCAGCAAGGAGCCTCACTTACACAGCACCCTTGAAGCAAGGGAGATATTTGAGACTCTCACAGATCCCCTGAATTGTGTGTGTGTGAATTGTGTAAGAATTAGAACTTTTACATTAAGGTAAAATGAGAGTATGAGAAGATTTCCTTTTAATACAGTTCTAGTTTGCTCATTTCATATTCATCAATACATCCTGACTGAATATTATAAATACACTGTAAGTTGTCGGAAGATTACTGAATTAAATTACAAAAGAGGTTGGAGATGTAATCACCAGAGAAGCACAGTGATAAAAGTTTTCAAGTTCTGATTACTTCCCTAAGTTATCAGTGAAATTCCTAAAGATTATAAACTCATAAACTTCATACTTTTATGTAATTTTAATATTTGCTCATTAAGTCAAAGGGTATCAATTTAAATAATAGTGAGAACACTCTATTCTTCATTTAACAATTTTTTGAGTACCTACCAGGCCGGACACTGTTCCAGGCACTGAGGATACAGTAACGAAACAAACAAAACTGCAGCCTCTTAGACAGTTTACATGTTAGTTGGGGAAACAAACAAACAATAACTATATCAGGAGAGGGGCTGGCCCGGTGGCACAGAGGTTAAGTTTGCGCGCTCCGCTTCGGCGGCCCTGGGTTCACAGGTTTGGATCCCGGGCGCACACCAACGCACCACTTGTCAAGCCATGCTGTGGCAGCATCCCATATAAAGTAGAGGAAGATGGGCATGGATGTTAGCCCAGGGCCAATCTTCCTTAGCAAAAAAAGAGGAGGATTGGCATCGGATGTTAGCTCAGGGCTGATCTTCCTCATCAAAAAAAAATATATATATATATATCAGGAGAAAGTAAATCAGACTAAGGGATAGTAGGGGGACAGGAAATTGTGAAGAGGGGCCACTGTAAACTACTTAAGGGTCACCCATTAGACAAGGCTTGTAAATAACAAATGGAAAATGGAAGTTTTATTAGCCAAACACAAGAGATCCTGAACTATTCACTCCAGTAAAATCGTTTGCAAGATTCAAGTCATTTTCTTACTACTTTTGGAGTTGAATCGATATGGCGTTGTTTCCATACGAGAATGAGAAAAGAAATTAGATGTTTATTTATAATAGCTAAACACCATGACGTGAAAGGCATATATTTTAACTTTTTTAAAATTAAACATTTATTGGGCTGAGGCTCCCCCTATCTAGCATTACTTGAAATGATCTGACGCCATCTTGTGGTAACTTTAATATTCATGATTTAATTCATGAAACTTAATCTGAAGTCAGATAACGGATTGAGAGAGAGAAGGCTGCTCAGCGTCCCCACCAGGAATGCCAATTGAGAAGACAGGAAGCAGGCACACAGGTTTTTCCGGACATCTTTTCAAACACGATGTGACAGTGGAATGGATCAAGCTAGGTCAGGACGAAGCCCCTCAAAGACTTATTGAGCATCTACCGTGCCTGAGCAGGGTGCTGTATTAGAGGCCGCCATATGTATCATCTCATTTAGTCCTCCCCAAAACAAGTAAATATATTAACAAGTATTAAGATACGGAGTCTTTGTGTTAAAAACATAATGGCATATAGCCTGCACACGAGCAGGGGTCGTGCTGAGATTTTCCAGTCCCCACTCCACACTAGCGACTCGCAAGGAAGCAAAGTGGTTTGATGACCCAGATGTCTGCCAAAAACTCTTGCTGTCCTTGGAGCTGTTCAGTGGACCACAAACAGCAGTGGCATAAGAATTACCACACGGAGCTGTGTACATGTGCCATGCGTCCCATACCTGCTGGGTGATGTAAGGGATTTTTCAAGGTATTTTTGACTTCATTTTGAACTTACCTATGATTTTTACTTTCTTCACAGAATGTATAAACTAACTCCTTTCCCTTTCCCCAAGATATAAATCTATTGCAAATATCACTGTATATATGATATGTATGTAACAGTCTAACGAGGGTAAAATGTAGACTCGCCTACATTGTCATATACCCTGCTGTCATTTATTTCTACATATTAAACGGTTAAGAGGTCAAAAATTTCAAAATACTGGGAAAAAAACAAAAACAAAATAAACATTAAAACACATATAGCTATGAAAGTGAGAGGCCAAGAAGTTGAGTCCATCTAATTACAGGAATAACATTCAATACATTTGTGGGAGGAGCTTCATGAAGATATGGCATTTACCTTTCTTACTTATGGGGGTAAAAATATATAAGCTTTCATAAAGCCTACTCTTAACAGAGTAAGGAGTTATTAAAATATCAACTTTCCAAAAAGCTTAGAAGTCAATGCCTGCCTTTTATAACACCCTCCCCCCCAAAAAAGTCAATGACCTCCAAAGGAGTCATCATTTACCAACTTCCAAATGGCATTATCCAAGAGCCCAAGGAAGCAGCTGAGCTGACAGATTTGTATTCGTCCTGCAAAGAAGGCCAAGAGGATCTAAGATAAGTCTGGTATATTAACACATCTGTTTTATAAACATGAAGGGAATCATGGCTACCCAGCCTGCTTCCAAACACGTGCAAGCAAAGGGGTGGGGCTGCCGAAAAGTGATTTGACCTTTAGCTACACAAAGAAATCACCGTGAGCTGTGCCAAATTCCCTTTAGGAACCACTTACAATTATCCATCTTAGAAGAAAAGCAAAGTTGATTTTACACCAAGATCGAATGAGTCATTGATTAATCAAAATTTCAATGATCAAAGACTGATCATATTTAAGTCAACAGATTTTTTTTGTGTGTGCGTGAGAAGATCAGCCCTGTGCTAACATCTGCCAATCCTCCTCTTTTTTTTTCTGAGGAAAACTGGCCCTGGGCTAACATCCTTGCCCATCTTCCTCCACTTTATATGGGACGCCGCCACAGCATGGCTTGCCAAGCAGTGCGTCGATGCACGCCCGGGATCGGAACCAGCGACCCCCGGGCCGCCGCACCGGAGCGCGCGCACTTAACCGCTTGCACCACCGGGCCGGGCCCTCAACAGATATTTTGAATGGCTGTTCGTTGGTCTTTCAAGCCAGCAGGACGATGGAGAAAGGACAAAGGACAAGGAGCAAAGACGTGAGGACCGTGATGCTGCTATCTGTGAGGCCAGGGCAGTGGACCACCACATGATCTTCAAAGGCCCTTCTGGCTGCGACAAGTTA